TTAGGGTCTCGGGGTTTAGGGTATAGGGCTTTAGGGTATATCGAGCCATTGTAACTGCTTTGCATTCGATTTCGAAATTTGTGTTTGGAGGTGCATGGGTGTTGCCTGTATCGCTGTGGCGGTTATTCTGGTAGGTTCGATGATCCTCGTCGGCATTGTTGTGCCCAGGCTCGTCGTCGTTGGCTAACTTACGCCAAACAAGTGAGCAGTGAGTAGCATTACTCATAGACCCCTGAGTAGTTCCTTTTTGGGATTACCTTCTAGGATTCTAAATATGAACCACAAAAAGGAACTACTTAGGGGCCTATGGGTATGGCTCGGATAAGACACTATCAGTCCTCATTGAACGAACGGAATGATGAGAATGAAGAGGAGGAGCAGCAGAAGGAGGAACGTTACGATGATGCTGACGATGTTGTTGTTGTTGATGATGATGATGATGATGACGACGACCATGATGATCATGATCAGGATGAAAACGGAATGATGATGACGTATTTCATATTTCGAAGGGATGAAAACAACGACCGAAGCATGCAACCAAGCAGGTACCGCAGAAACCCGACCAAGCACCTTGCTACTTGGGTGTAACCAGTTGCGACGAGGAGTACGACACGACAACGCAGTGACAGCTTGGTGCCGCATGTCTTCGTTCTGCCCGAAGCCGAGCGAGCCACTGCCATGTCGGGAACTGATTTGGCCGAAGAAGCACAGGACCTCTGCAACGGCCACGCGACGGCTCGGATGGGTAATCAGGATTCTCTTTTCTGTAGAGCTTGACGTAAAGTTGGGGAGTTGATGCGACCGGGCCCGAAGTGCTGTGGAGTGGGACTTGCGTCTCCACTGGTAGTGCGTAGATAGAAGCTCAGCCGATGAGAGGGTTATCCTAGATGCGCACCTTAGGTCTCTGCCAGGGGATCGATATCTGAACCTGCAATTGGAAGCCGCGAAGCCAACCGACGTCGTTCCACTAGGGACAAATCGGTAGTCGGATGGTTCTTCTACTCGCCAGTGCTTGAACCGCCAACCCGGCATGCTGCAAACCACTGATGCCCTCCTCACGAAACCGAAATCAGAAGACTTACGCGGATGCAGACTTGAAGCTCAGAACCGCTAAAACCCTAATCCCCAAAACCCTAGAACCCTAAAACCCTAAACCCTAAAACCCTAAAACCCTAAACCCTAAAACCCTAAAACCCTAAACCCTAAACCCCCTAAATCCCTAAACCCCCTATATCCCTAAACCCCCTAAACCTTAAGCCGTATTGCCAAGATGTCAGACAAAGCTAAGCTTGAAAAAGCAGAGCCCCGGGCGGTGAGCAGCACGACCCTGGGCAACTCCTTCCTCAGATTCAGCGCAGAGTCACTCAAACTCTTGGGGTTTCCGAAAAGGATTAGGGTTTAGGGTGTAGGGTTTAGGGTTTAGGGGTTTAGGGTTTAGGGGGGGATTTGGGGTTTTCCGAAAAGCGGGGACCCAAATGGGTACCCTACCCTGGGGTTCTTCTAATAAGGATCCTGCTATTTGGGGTACTATATTAGGGTTTAGGGTTGCATATGGGGGTTTCCGAAGATACATACCTAAAACTATAGGGGAATATATACCTTAAGTTATAGGGATCTATAAGGGTCTCTATAAGGGCAATAAGGGGATTTGGGGGGTTTCCGAAAATAGGGGACCATCATATAGTACCCTAAATAGTAGGATCCCTATTATAAGGAGCCCAAAATAAGGTGCCCTGTGTCTTGGGACACTCCCAACTCTTGTTGCCAGGGTTCAGAAAGCACCTATAGGACCCTCTAAGTAGCCTCAAATAGGGGTAGATATGGTCCCAAATTAAGGGGTATTTGGGGTCTTATAATAGAGGGTAGATGGAGGGTCTAGCACTGCCAACTTTGCAGCTAAATCCGCGACGGCATAGACAAATCTTCAACACGTGGAATGCCGGCAGTCACATAACGGAATGCCCACAACAGGCACACACAAACCGTTACTTGCACTGTCACACTACAACCACAACCAACCAATGCTGATCATAATGTTCACATTATTAATCCTAAACCGAGGCGCAGTTCCCGCAGCAGCCGACCTCTTTTGGAGCGCCGTTCGTCCGTCAACTCGGCGTTCAGGCCCTGCGTGCTCGGAAGCGTCATTGCCGGATTAATGTCCCCCCCCTTGCCCGTTTCCTGCATCTCTCCCACAATATAGAAACCAAAACGGAACCATCGTCGGCATGATCATCACCGTCACCCTCACCCGATGAAAGATGCGCAGTTGTGAACCGTAGACAAGTACGACTACCCATAGGTCCCTAAGTAGTTCCTTTTCGGGATTACCTTATAGAATTCTGTATATGGGCCCGTAAGGGGGAGCTGCTTATACGCTATGGGGCCTACGACTACACCCGGCTCCGAAAGCTTGCAGCTCCCCCAGCGTCCTGTTCTACCCACAGGCCTCTAAGTGGCTCCTTTTTATGGGTTTATATTTAGAATCCTATAAGGTAATCGCCAAAAAGGAAGTACTAAGGAGCCTATGGGCAAAGCACAGAACCTGAAGAAAGCCAAGAACTGAAACTCCGACAGCGCTCGTTTAGGGGTTTAGGGTTTAAGGTTTAGGGTGAAAGAGGTGGCCTGGATGGACTGGATGGCCCGGGGAGGCACAATGGGCTCCGGGAGCACCTGGGCATGTTCGCCGGTCGTCGTGAAGTTTGCAGTTTGAGGCTGGGGTCGACTAATTACCCCCCAATCTCGTCGTTGTCGTGGTCGTGGTCGTGGTCGTGGTCGTGGTCGTGGTCGTGGTCGTGGTGGTGGTCGTGGTGGTGGTCGTGGTGGTGGTGGTGGTGGTGGTGGTGGATGAGTGGATGTGGTGTGCGCAGTGGCATTCGCAATAGCAGCATGAGCACAAGCGGTAGCAGTGGTAGTCGACGTCGTTGTGGTGGTAGTGGCAGTCGAAGTGCTAGGGGCAGTGGCAATGTCAGAGGCAGTGATATAGTCGTCATGGCGGTGGCGGTAGTCGGAGCCGTCGTCGGACGAGTCGCAGTAGCTTCTAACACAACTCGACATGAAGGGGGGCAGCGGCTCCTGATGTGCAAAGCTCTCTGGGTCAAAAGTCCAACTCATGACTGTGCAGCCTTCGACACCTATCGTTGAACTCCTCCCAAGAGCTGTAACCGATACTGCATGCCCACTATCACTTCTGGAATGTGGAACTTCTGCTTCTTGGCTCCTCACCGCCAACGGTTCTAGGATGCTTGGTGCAAGCCACGTTTGTTTCAGTGGCATTGTCCTCATGGTTTGCTGATTCAACATCAAATATCTAGATTCTAGATAAACACACGCGCAGGGCTGCGCGAGGCACAAATCAAAAGCAAACATCGACCCTGACCGCGACAACCCGAAGGAAAGAACCGTCAGCTGCACTGCAGCATCGCCACCACTCATCACAACAGCGACTATGTATCTACATACATAACAGTTACATACCGACATATACATATATACATATTTCTATTAACAAAATATGTCAATGTACATAAGATGCATAGATACATATGTATAGTATAGGCGTATATCCGTGCGTCCATGTATGCAAATATGACTATATAGACACATACCTTTACATATGTACATACGTATATGTATTGGTATACACATACATACTTGCAAATATATTCAGATATAAATATATATATATATATATACAAGCCTGTGCATACATACACATACACACATACATATACATGCACACATATACATACATACATACATACATACATACATCCATCCATCCATCCATACAGACAGACAGACAGACAGACAGACAGACAGACATACATACATACAGACATACAGACATACAGACAGACAGACAGACAGACAGACAGACAGAAAGACAGACGTGCATTAGACAGACAGACAGACAGACGTGCATTCGACAGACAGACAGACAGACAGACAGACGTGCATGCATGCATGCATACACACATATATACACACACCAAAACATACACCATCTTTAGCTTTTGTTTACATCGGTGCTGAGTGCTCAGATTCTCACTGCCCTCGTGCACGAGCCCCGGACCCCGAGCCAGCGGAGAAGAAAGGGTGCCGCGCTGCGACATGGCCTTGGCTCTGCTGTCGCCTCAACTACGGATGGCCTGTGGTCCAAGAACTTTGACTTGCTCATTCTAAGGCCTTAAAAACCTTATTAGGGTTTTAGGGTTTAGGGTTTTAGGGTTTAGGGTTTAGGGGTTGGGGTTTTAGGGGTTTAGGGTTCAGGGTTTAGGGCTTAGGGTTTAGGGTTGTTCCTTGAGGAGCTCCGAGTATTTGGGAAAGTGGGCTGAGGGTGCCTCGAGTCGAAGCATTCGCCGTCAGTGGCAGTGGCAGTAGTAAGTAGTAGTAGTAGTAGTAGTAGTAGTAGTAGTAGTAGTAGTAGTAGTAGTAGTAGTAGTCGTGACAATATTATCAGTATGAGTGGTAGCACCAGGACAAGTACTAGTACAAAGACAACAGTCACCACGCTGAGACAAATCCCTGTACATCCCATGCAACACCACAGATCCTTGCCACAGGTCTCAAGTGCTTATGAATTGGAAATGTCGCCCGCCCACGCCGGGGCGCCCCACAACTGGAAGTTGTCGCGTGG